TTTCCGGAGAGTTAGGTAATTTACCGAACGACCAAAAAGATTTCAGGTAGGTGTCCCAGAAATAATAGCTGTAAAATAAAATTGGTTTTGAAATAAATTGTCTTTAAAATAAACTATCTTTGATACAAAATTGTCTTTAAAATAAATTGTCTTTGAAATAAGTTGTATTATCTGTAAATAAGTTTGTCTACAAAATAAACTGTCTATAAATTAATTATCTATCAAATAACCTTGTCTGTAAATTAATTGTCTTTGAACTAAGATGTCTATGAAGTGATTGTCTGTGAAGTGATACGTAACCGAAGTGAGCATTGCCGTATTATGCTAGTAGAGTGCCTGAACGATACTCCAGTCTAGTAATACAGCCAAGAGAAGACGGGGGTCTTACTCGTTGAATTACATCGTTTGTGAGAGGCGTGATGTTGGTGATTTGGTTAATTATATTGGATATCTTTTACTATCAGATTAGCAATCCTATGTGCCCCTTACCGGTTCTACTGCGACATCAAAAATCTCGACAGGCCATAATACTGACATCACACGACGTTACAATTAAAATTTAAGGTCTGACAATAACGATAATTGTTAATCTTTAAATATTAATTGTCACGTCGGGATTATGGTTTTCGAGATTTTGGATGTCGGTAGAACCACCCCTACCTACGTTCTCGAAATAACTTTTACGAAATAATCACGAAGCCTAAGTGGCTTAAGTATTTGTAGTTACGCTAAGCCCTTTTCATCGTGACTCACTTTTATTTTCTATAACTCATTGTTCTCAATGAATTTGGCTAGGGATGGGGAGGTTTGATTTTAACTTTGATGCAGGATCTGCATATATTAGATTTAAAAACTAAATTAAATTTTTTCATCCCTGCCTTTGGCCGAACAAGCTTCATTCGTCATCCAAGCCTGTTGAGGCAATTTATTGTGGGTTTTTCGGAAATGTCACTTTTACCCTATGACGGTTCCTAACCAAACTGTTTGGGAAATTAAATTAAACGTTGGTAAATGAAAAAGAAAAAGCCACGCCTATGCTACACGTATAGGAAACTAGGGAATGTTATAACCATTGATTGAAAGCAGAAATATGATACTTTCAAAAATCTACGCTGGAAAATAATGGAAAAAGATTGTGTTATCAATAATATGGATATATTGAAAAATTTCTGTTGCTTTTAGAAAACTATGTTTATTAAACACGAACGATATAAAATATGGATAACTTGTTAACATTAACACCTATTCGTGTAATATGTTATTATAAAACTTTTTTTTATTTGGAGCTTTTTATATTTCTTGTCAAGATTCATTAGTTGACAAGAACGCACATACCATCAAGCATGTCAGACTAGAATTCAAACGAAAAAAATTTGATAACATTGATATTATTGCTATAACAATCTGTCAAAAAAAACCATTAATAATACAAAAATAACTTTTATTATATCAGCCGAAAAATCATTCGAAAACAGCAGTCAATAATGTGCCAGCTTAAGCTAACTTATTTGAGCTGGCTTGAGCCGAGATTGCTTAAGCCGATCCCACCCCTACTTGTCTTTATCGGAGACCAAAGTGTCCAGCTTTAATGTGGCTTGAAGTTTCGAATTAGAATCGATATCGGTACATTGCAGCGCTCTTTTATAAGCCTTTATAGATTCGTGTGGAACCGAAAGTTGCTCATAAAGGGCTCCTAAGCGTAACCACATCCTAGCATCATATGGCCTAAATATAAAAAAAAAACAGTAATAGTTACCGATATAAAATTTTACGAATATAATTATTAGAGAATTTCTATTTATACCGGGTGTATGTACACATGCAATATAGATATCTCAAAATTCTGATTATGAAACCACCTTTTGATTTCCAACAAAAAAAAATTCCTTCTGAAATTTTGGTATAAGCTATACCTTGCTCAATCCAAACCCACCCTTACCCTAACCATAAGCGAGGTTTAATTTTTCGTTTGCAAAAATTGTTTTAATTGCATGTTACACGAATTTGTAAATGAATAAATTATACCCCGTGTATAAACACTACGTGTAAACTAATAAATTTTCTAATTATTATCTAGGCTTACCTCAAAGCCGAAGACCGTTGATAATAATAGATCGCATAATAAGGCATTTTCAACATTTCATAAGTTTGTCCAAGACCGCACCATGCTCGATAATCTTTGGGATTGATCTCTGGTTTTATAAAAGAAATAAAGTATATTTATCCTATTTATGAAAATTTGACAAAATAGCGTAATAAAATTTAATTTACCCACTGCTCGTTTATATGAAACGACAGCCGCATGGGTGTTTTTCAGTTCAACATATTCATGTCCCATCAATGTCCAGGCGGCCAAACAATTCCTATTAACTTGTAATGCTCGTCGAAAATATGATATTGCCTTTTCATGTTCACCTTTCGAGCTATAGTAATTTCCTAAATATTAATAACATCAACATACAAATGATACATTACTTATGATGTATAATGATTAATAATCAAATGATATTATGACATACCTACGATACACATAGTTTCAGAACGAAATTTATCTGTGTGACAACTCATATGTGCAAGAAAACTCAATTTTGCGCTCTTTCCATCTAACACATACAGAATATTCGAATAAAGATCAATGTCATCTAATCTATATGGATCGGATTTAATTATTTCTTCAAATACAGACTCTGCTGCCAAATAATCTGAAATAATCAAACCATAATTCATATATAAGTAAGATGTTTCGATTAAATGAGTTAAAATCAGCGTGAATAATACGATACCCCTATTATTGTAATATGTAATTGCTGTTTGTGTCTGTAAAAATTTATTTTCTGCAAACTTATGTTGAACTTCATTAATTAATTCAAAACATTTGGAAGATTCCAATAATTCTACAGATAAATAAATTCTAAAAAATCTTGACATAAAAGTATCTGGAAGCAACACCAGTATATCTTCCATCTATGGAAATAGAAGTCAACGTATGAATAATTAATCAAATATGCAAAAAATTGCTGTGTTCATTTATAGTACCATGTCTTTATTGGTTATGCAGTTAGCCAACTCTAACCAAGCGCTCCAATTGTAATGATATTTGAGTACAGAGTCTAAGAAGATATCTTTAATATTCTTCGCTTGTGGATTTTTCTGTTTGAGAATAAGACCATATCTATGTAAAATCAGAAGATTATGTTCATCAACAGCCGCAAGATGTTTAATTATCATATTGTTGAAAATATACTAACATTACAAAAAATTATGAACTCACAGATAGACAAGAAAGCCATCCAATTCACCCTCCTCACGCCATGTCTCCATTTCTTCCCATAAATTTTGTATTTCCTTGTTTAAACATTTCGAATCATCTAATGGACCTAAATTATGAGATGAACATTAAAAAAAAATCATAAAACAAAAATGAAAATTGTAATTAAAACTTTATATACCCATAATGTCTTGACTCTCTTCTTCCTTCCTTTTTTCACCTGCCTATAAGACCAGAAAGAAATATCATTAATTAGTACCTTTCAGGAAATGATTATTACAGAATTCGACTAACAAGTCCTTCACATACCAGATATTTAGAATAACCTTTTAAAAATCTACACTTTGAAGATTTGCATTTTTCCAACACAAAAGCAGCCCTATCAAATTCTTTAACATCAAAATAAGATTTGCCGAGAAGATATTTATCACGCTCAATATAATCAATATTAGCAGATAGATCTTGTTGAGTAAGAAATGAACAATATGACATGTCCATTTTTACAGATTCTAATGATTCTTTTAAAGAAGACGAAAGTCCATCCAATGTTTCAGCAGCCCTAATACACAAATAAAGTGTCTTTAATAGTAAAACGCAACTGTATGACTTTTTGACCTCTGATCATAATACCATTTTGCAGCAAAATATAACCCTCTTTCAGAGCATTCTGTAATAGCTTTTCTAAGGACAAATCTGACTTCCTCTGAAGTCAAAAATTCGAAATTTGTTGATGACGTTTCAGTTTCATTATACATTGTGACTGATTTTATGAAGAATAAAAAGCGCGTCTGCTGTTTCAATCCTCTCCAATCAAAAGATGATGCAGATATGCAGCCTGCAGATCCTTATCAATCGGTTCAACCGGAATTATTTTTCTACCCCAGTAGGACGTGAATCGAGGTAAGAACGTCCCAAATATGGAGGTCGTCTAAAGCCATGTACCCACGTGACTATTTTGTGTAAATCAACCAACTGGAATTGCGAAATTTTGTTTACACGGATCAGCCCGAAGAAGTCAACTTAATTTAATTAAACCGAGGCTTTAGCCATCCCCTTATTTGGGACGTTCTTACCTCGAATAATGAGCAATAGTCTATGGCTATAGCTTCTAACAGTAACTTCCTAACCCTAAATTTGTGTTTTTACGCACTTTGTTTATTTACAAATTAAATTTCCTTTTTTGGGTTGTAT